TTTTGTGGCTCTGTGATGCCAAAAATCGAATGATTGCAAAACTTCGGTTGTACACACCTCTAGCACCTAAACAGTTTGGACGAATTGCTCCAAAATCGATAATCCCTAAATCGATCGATCTGAACGAATTCGAAGCCCTGCGAGTTTGAAATCGATATTTTGATTTATGGGCGTTCATTTAATGAAGCTTCAACATTTTGAAAATTTTCTCGAAAATGACAACATTTTTTATTTAATGTATTTCATTGATAGCATAAAGAACACATAAAATAGCGCATGTCCCATTTTCGTTAAAATATCTGAGTTTTTGAAACTTGAACAACTTACATTATTTTAACATACAATGTAGGCTTTCACGGCCGGTTACATTATTTTGTTAATGACTTCCTGCAACTTCTATTATTAAAGATTAAGATTTTTTTTTTTTCGTTGCTGAAATCTGAACTTTCAAGACAGATCTTGAAGTAAGGTCATGTATGATTTTTCGAAAACAATTGGTTCACACTTAATTTTGCATGGAGGATAAGGACTTTTTAAAATTAGAATGCCCGGTATACCAATACCCCTTCAGTGCACAGTGGAGTAATTTTGACTGCGGCATTCAATGGTACATCTTTAAGAGTATTGTTGCAATACTGTTAAAGAGTATTGTCATAAAAGTATTGTTGCAGATTTCACCACATCACTAGAACACTTTGAATAATATTAATTTGTTGTGTAATAGAGAAACTATGCCATATATTAAATATCAAAAAAAGAAAACAAACAAGAAACAACATTTCTCGCTGCTATTGGTCTGTGGGGTGTTAGTGAGTAAGAGCATCTTGACCCCAATGTACAGGGTGACAGTAAAAAGAGAATGTTGAGAAGAAAACGTTTGTGTATAAATATTATTGCTGTGTTACGATAACATTTTTTATATGTATTTAATTTGAAACAATGGTTTCACATTTGTCACAAAAATACTTTTCCTTTAGATTACTTGTTTCATATACTAAGGTCTCGCAATTGTTGAACTTATTGAATTATATATTTTATTTAGAAACTTTTGTTTCACATTGATGGAAACATATTGTGGGTTACATGTTGGAATTTTGATAACAATTACCCCTGAGTTTTAAATTTAAATTCAATTCTTGCTTGGGCTTTGTATTTACTTTTGATCTGACTGAATTTACTCCATGTGCAGTATAAACATATGTAGTTAGAGGACACAAACCAGCAAGGACTTGTACGGACCATAGTTTTGAAGCACACTTTGTGTAATACTCCTGTGAGGTTTGTTCTGCTCTGTGGTGTATGGCTACATTTTCCAGACACATCTTGTTTCTTTCCATTATACTTCCCCTATATTTCTATTATATGGAAAAACATTGATAGACCCCTTTTAGAACCACCTACTACAACATCCAGTTATATGCTGTATTCGCTCTGTTTTCATTCCATAAATTGTGATCGTTGACTTTGGAAGGGAAAGTCCCTGTGTCTCTGCTCCATTTGTTTGGCCAAAAAGGACTATAATTTGTAAATGTGATGCCTCACTAGGTCAAAGTAATTTTTCAGATGAAAGAAGTGAAAGCTCCGGATTGATAGCCTCACAAAGCTTATCAAATCTAAAATCATATAACGAGATAAGTGTCCACGAACAAATATCTGTATCTGAATAAATCACCATTTAGAGATCGAAATTCAATACTGTGCATGACAGTTCTCTTCTAAAGTCGAACATTTTCTTTATCTCAATGATTGGAAGAAAAATTTTGTTATTACACAGGTATTCTTTCATGTAATAACAAATTGTTTTTTAGAGACTTAGTAATATATTTGCAGTGCAGTTACCAAACAGTTCATATTTCCTCAATTAGGTATATTGAACAAGAAGGTCAGAAAACATTACAAAGTGGAAATAATAAATGTTTATATCTTCAGGGAAAATCCAAAATATTAGGAGACACATTGAAAATTTTGAGCAGTGAAATTCATCATTCAGAAGCTACAGAATGGCATCAGTACTCAAGGAGTTGAATGAAGCTTCCTGGGTGTTCTAGGTAAATTCGATTATTTTTCAAAAAATATGTTTTTGTTAATTATGTCAGTAAACACGCGTTTAGCTACTTAGCAACCAAACCATGTAAACAAGGCTCTAAGAACACGTCCAAAGCAACAGCCGCAAAAATGCTTGAAAGTCAATTAAAAATATTTTAGCCGGCTGTTGGGTTTTGATCTTACCAGTGCTAATAAATCTTTGGATAAAAATCTTTCTTTTAGCTGGTTAATATTTTGTTAATGAAAGTTGATGGATAATATCTGTAGTAGGTAACAATTCGATGCAATTATCCCTCTTGTCCTTTTTGTCCCATTTCATCTCTTTTATCTCCCATGTGGCATTAGTCCCATTTGTTTGTTTTTTCGTTTCCCCCTTTTTATGCTGATGTCCGCATTGTCCAATTTAGTTCTCGTCCCATTTTGCCCCATTTGTCCTTTTTCATGTTTTGTTCTTTATCCCATTTTGTCTCCGTCTCATTTTGCCCCATCTCCCATTTGTCCCTTGTTCAATTTTGTCTCATTATCCTCATTGTCCAATGTGTTCCCCTTTCCCCATTTTGTTCATTTTTTTCTTCTACTTTTCCATGTCGTCTTGTTCTCTTGGTCCCCCTTTTTCTGCTTTGTCCCACTTGTCTCCATATATCCTCCTTCAGCCATGATTATTCCTATTAATACTAATAATACTGCTACTGCTACTACTGCTACTGCTACTGCTACTGCTACTGCTACTACTGCTACTGCTACTGCTGCTGCTGCTGCTGCTGCTGCTGCTACTGCTACTGCTACTGCTACTGCTACTGCTACTCCTACTGCTACTGCTACTACTACTACTACTACTACTACTACTACTACTACTAATAAAAATAATAAAAATAAAAATAATAATAATAAAAATAATAATAATAATAAAAATAATAATAATAATAATAATAATAATAATAATAATAATAATAAAAATAAAAATAATAATAAAAATAAAAATAATAATAAAAATAATAATAATAATAATAAAAATAAAAATAATAATAATAATAATAATAATAATAATAATAATAATAATAATAATAATAATAATAATAATAATAAAAATAAAATAATAATAATAATAATTAATTACTACTATTAATATTAATTTCTTTATTTCTGGTGAGGCTCAGGCTGTAAGGCTTGCTCTTCTGCCTAACCACTTATTTATATTTACATGATTACAACTTACTTTAAGCACAATCTGCCTAACCACTACATTTACATTACTTCATTAGTACAATTTCTTTAAGCACAATGTGACCATTGCACACACCATCATGTTCAATTTATTGTCAATATTAATACTTGAAATTATGCAGGACACTGGTAGGTGTGTCAGTCTATGCACACACATTACACTTTGATTACAAAAAAGGCTGAACCACTTCCACTATCCACATTGTTACTATGTAATTTTTCCTGAAAATTGTTTGATAGGTCATTGAAATAAATTAACATATTTTAAAAAAGCATCATATTGTTTTTTTCAAACTTTGATAATGCTGATCTCTCGTTGTTTTTTTTTAAGGATAGTTTCATTTTTGCATTTCCAAATAATGAGGTAGAGAAAGAAATGTGTGTTTGTAGGCTTTGGTAGCTGGAGTCAATACATTCTTGTCTATCCGGGGTGAGCCGTGTCCTGGTTAATTGCGCGGACGTTTCGGCCATCTTGCTGTGGCCTTCCTCAGCCCACAAAAGGCCCAAAAGGCCACAGCATTTTCAGAGATATATGAAGGAAGGCCACACCAAGGTGGCCATAACGTCAGCCCAATTGACCGAGACACGGCTCATCCCGAATAGCCAAGAACGTTGTCTAGAGAAGGAAATAACCTAACAATGCTTTTCTTTTTAATACTGCATGTCCTATTGTTCATTATTTTGTGCCTCCATTTTTGTCACAACAGGTTTTTTTTATAATACCCAGGAAAAGGTCATAGAAACTTGTTCTTTGGGTATGTATATGTCCCCGGACACCAGTTGAAACCCCAAGTTTTCGATATCTCAGTCCCTGTGCTAAAGCCAGGGGGCCCGAAAATTGGTATTTTTCTGACTTTTTGGGTTTTCTTTTATAACTAACAGTATGTCCTGTAGAAAAATCATTCAATTGTATTGTAAAGAGGGTACAATTTACTACCATTTAAAGATAAATCATTTTCTAAACCTAGTAACAAGCCAACTACAGCTCTCCAAAAATACTTTTGACTTTTCATTTGTCCAAAATTTGTGCAATAATACACTTGTTTCTGATGTAATTATCCTATAAAAATATAATTATTATTACATGAAATGCTATTATTTGTGTCATCATCAATGAAAACCTTGCTTGAGAAATGCACATGATGCCAAATGTCTTAATATATTAAAAGTAGATCAATGTGTATATATGTGTGTTTATTTTCTGGCATTAACTCTTTAATGCAGGAACAATTTCATTTCAACACTTCCTTTGCATTATTTTTACAATGGGGGGGGGGGNNNNGGGGAATACTGTGGGGGAAAGAAACCTGTTGAGATGGGTTTGGAATGCGAAGAACAATTTACAAACACAGTTCTACCAACACAACCCTCAATGCACGTACTGTGTGAATGCGCACTGGCGTGCACAGTAGGAAAGCCACGCAGAGCTTTTTAATAGAAGATTGTGATAAATCCCTGGACAATTGAGCTAGTCACCTTATGAAATATATGTAAATGGTGAATACGTACTCTGCTTACACAGTGAGATGTAAATAAGGTGCTATTCTTGATGATTCGAGAATTATCTGGTTAATGTTTTGGTTAATGAAAGTTAATGGATAGCATCTGTAGTAGGAAAAAATTCGGTGCAAATCTCGGACTTTGTGTAGATGAAATTTCACTCACTAGACATCACCCAACATGAGATAGCTGGGGCAGGTGAAGAATGTTATGGTGATGAGGAATAACAGATGAGTGACAGGAATCAGACCGATAGTGAGAAGTCTCTAAGACTAAAGAGAGGTAAGATTTGTGGTTTAAATTATTTTGTTGCTAGCAGCCAGGCTAAAGGTTGACTGGAATTTATTCAAACTGTGGGAGAACTACACAAAATAAACGTCCAATGTTTGTATTTTAGTTAAGATTGTTCGATGTCCTTGTGCTACGTATCTCTACTGTACAGATTGTTAAAAACATTAACACCTGCTTCAGCAACTCGTGCTATAGCTTTTGTTTTTGATTACACTGAATATTTGAGGCAAATCATGCTGTTCCCAAAGAGTACTGCAGATTACTATGTTTCCTTGTTCAGATTGAATGAATGTACATCCTCTGAAAGTATGAAGGATATTTTCTGATGAGACTTTTTTTAATGGGTGGAACTTGTCCTGCTCTTCTAGAAATTTAGAGTTCATATGGAACCGGAAAACCTGTAAAAGTGTGGGGAATTTGAGTACCTACAAATGATATGAACCATGAAATTGCTGTTTTAGATAAAGGAACTGGTACTGTTTGCTGTATCAGTAGATTGAAGACTTTACCTATGAGAGTAACAATATTAGGCTTTGGGTATTTACTATCATTATTTTGTGTTCAAGCACTACGAAAAGTAAAATCACTTCAATCTTTCCACTGTTCTAGCCACTGTGCCCACTCAGTGCTCATTACACCCAGTATGTGTATTGGAGATAGCATAATTTTGTATATATAAATGTCATCTTATTCAACTTCTACCTCGAGGGATGTCTCCAGTAATAATAAATCCCAAGTTTAAAAATTGCGGAAATTATTTTGAAAAGCATTAGCTGTGGGTAATGTTCTTCAACAAAGTGTTTGCACTTCATTGCACATTTTTCAATTTCTCCTATTTGTTGTATCTGGTACTAAAAACAATTTTGGTTGTTGCATCCTGAAAAACATTACAGTGACTTTCCCTTGCATGAATTGCATTCCTGCCACTGATAATGAAGTTGCTGTGGTATACATCTTTTTTATAATTGGTTAAACCTTTTTCAGTTGTGAAATTAAAAAATTCAGGCTGATATGTACTATAGTTCTTATGGATTTCCAATTTTTAACTGGAATGACAGTGCTAATTTGTAGACATTGCACATTGATGAGAAATTTTTAGTTAAAAAAATTCATAAAGTTTTTATGTAATGTTTTATGAAGTGGAAAAATTAATTGTTCAAAATTTGTTTGGCATCTTTGCTCATATGTGTAAATATTTTTCATTAACAGTTTTTTGTGGAGGAATACATTGTGAAATAAATTTTAAAAGGATTGATCATTGTTTTAAAAAAAATTAGATTTGTACTCAATTACGCATCTATGCCTATTATCTATTGTATACTTAACAATAATGTCATGTTAACCTGAAGTTTTTCTTATATTTTGTTTAATGTAGTAGAGTGGGATTTGAATGTATTATTTCTAAATTATTTGTTTTCAAATAATATGGATTTAGTACTAAGTTGCCATTAAATCTGTTCCTCAACATTAGACCTGTTACAATGGGTGAAAAATAATTTATACAGAAGCAGGCAAAAAGCCAAGACTTATCCCTTTTGCACATTTCTCCAAGTTATTTCTTTGATAACTTGAAGGGGGGAAAAGTAAGTTAATCACACTGGAGTAATTTAGACCACTCTACAGCTCTGCAGCAGCAGTACAGTTTCTGAACAAAACCATAAAAAATGCATTTTCCCATGAGTAGCAAGTACACAGCCCAAGAACAATCAATGAAATACTATATTACACTGCAATAACATAGCATAGCATGGTTACATACTGCAGCAATTCTTTTCATACTTTCAAGGATTTATAAAGTGGCTGTCAGTTATTATCGACGATCTTCCTGTTTGCATGGTGCATTTTCCTGTTCAGTTGGTGCCACCATGAACCAAACATTTCATATACCATCCATGCATTTTGGTGGCATACCAGAATATGTTCCTCAACGTAGTGTCGTTATGTTTGAAGCATCGTGAGCGCAGTATGTAGATTACAATAGGTTGCTATTTTTCCCCACACATATTGGCGCATGACGCAATTGTCAGTCTCTACCTTGCGTTTAACTCCTTTCACTGCAGAAGATCTGTCCGGTATTGCTTTCAATAGAAGGCCCATTTCATCCTTGTTGTAGATGTCTATAGCGCTTATCCTTTGGTGGTATCAGAAATTTGCAATGTCACTGGTCGTATTTTCATTGACCTCGCCACTTTTGCCACTAACAGTTCAACAAAGAATGGTGTGACGAACACGAAATCTGCTCAATCGTTTACTGGTTTAGACATCCAACGTTTCCGATTCGAAGAGCTTTTTCTTGTATCATTGGCCCACTTATAGGGAAACCTTTTGAACGAGTGTGATTAAACCATTTTAAAAGAACACTGTTTCTGATTTTGTATGGTTGCATTCTGCTCTTCTTTTTAACGTTTTCTTCCCAATTTTTTGAGTACCATTCCCGCTTGGCAAGAATGGACTTTTACCTAAATTAAAACAGTTTAGTTAACTCTTCCTGTGACTTTCCGTTTCAGCTTTCCTTTATCACTGATAAGCTAGTCTCGAGAGAAAGGATTGTGAGTTTCTTTTCTCGATTGATATTTGCCATTTGCCAGGATGAAATGAAAATTATAGCAAAAACTGACATCCTAAACTAGCATCTATTGCAATCCCTACAGAATCAGCGGTAACACTACACAGCGAAAACACATTCAGCAGTTGATTATAATGCAAACTGAAGAAGAAATTGTCGAAAATCCTCCAATGTCATCCTAAGAATTGCACACCCAAAGGGACAAATGAGAGCGGCGGTACCTCCTTCCGCGTGAGAAACTACATGGATTATTAGTGGTTGCCACCAAAGCCGCAAGTTGCAGCTAGCAGAAAACGGTGTAAGATAGTTAAAAAAATGTCTAAACTTGGACCAAAGTGGTCTCATTGAAAGGGGAAAGGTGTGGTTTTGTAGAGAAATTCATGGTCTTTGTTCGGGAACAGGACGGGTCGGGATAAAGGGTATTTCAAAGCATTGGGTTTATGGGAAAAGCAATCTGTCCCGGAAAAGTGCTCGGGCTGGTCGCGATGAAGGGGTGATGGTGAAGAAAGGTTTCACCGGGTGTGTGCGTATATGTGTATGTATGTATGTATGTATGTATGTATGTATGTATGTATACAGTCGCGGATCCAAAGAGGGGAAATAAGGAAAATTACACCCCTCCCCTAAAATTTTCTCTAAATTTTAATTTTGACTTGTCATGACACTTTCAAGCAACCATATTTTCGTTGCCCAAGAAATACGTCCTTTCTTCGCTATTGGGTGAAAGGAGCGTAGCGAAATATGCGTGGTCAGACTGACGAGCGTGCCTGATGGCCCCAGTCTCGCCACGTAAAATAAGGCATCAATTTAATTCAATACACATTTTCGGTTAATCATTGAAACTAATAAAATGTGGTCAGAGCTGTTGCAGTGACATCAGTCGATGCTCTTAGCTACCTATGCCGCTTAATGAAAATCAAATGTGTTATTTTTATAGTAGGTGTTCTTCGCTCTGTTCGGCCATTGAAATTTAGGAATACAATATGAAAGTACTTTCGAAAGAATGTGGGAAATGGGCAATACGTAAAGTACATTGAATGCACTTCTTCCCATTTTAAGTCACAGCTTTGATCTTCTTTTATGTTAAATTAAATTTAAGTTAAATTAAACTTTCTTTTATAAAAGAAATGATGTACTCCTAACAATAGAAAGATCTTTTTCCGATTCGCAGGGTCTGATGAATGGCCAATTGCATTTTAAAATACTAATTTTGGAGCAAATTCTGTGAATAGTTTAAATTATTGTGCTTACACACGGACAGATGAACAGAAAAAGGTTTTGTATTTAAAATAGCTTTTGGATATCATGAATTCACAGATTGTGTATATTTGTCAAAAATTCAACATCAAATTTTGTGAATTACAATAGATTCTTTGGTTTATATTGTGTGTGTGCGCGTGTGCGAAAGTAAAAATTAAAAGAAATGAGTATAAATGATGAAAATTCATTTAGGCTGGTTGATTCTGATCATGTTCTTGTTCTCTTTAAGAGAAGATCGACATAAGCCGCTTAACATCAAGTGTCAAAACAGAAAAGCTTAACATTAAAACATTAACAGGGGTTAGTTTAGGCACTTAAATGTTTCAAAATGTTATCCATTTTCTCAGCAAGGACAAGTAAAACAGTCTTCGATTAAAAAAATTTTTCATTGTTGATGTATGTTGTGTAATCTGATTTTGTAGTTCAACATAATTTTTCGTTCTACTTGAATCACATTTTCCCCCATGTTGGTTGTAATTTTCAAACTTGTTATATATATATAGTTTTATTTTTTTAGGGCTCCAACCACTTTTGGAAGACCAGCTGGAGCGTGTCATAGAAGAACTGGAGATACGCTGTTGGGATAAAGTTCAAACCATAGTTAAGACTGAGGAAGGACTTGGAATCGAATACGATGAAAATGTCATATGTGATGTTTGTCGATCGGTAATGTATACAAATATTTTTCTTTGTTTAATGTGATTTGTTAATTATATGTACATTTCCCATTTTTATCTTCCATTTCTTTTTGGGTCACTTCGTAAGGATCCACTCAGTGACGCCTCTGAAAAACGATAAAGTCCTCCTGATACAGATACTGCCAACCGCTACTGATCGCGAGCGAGGAAGTTTTCATGTGTCACGCCGCTGTAGGTTCAGGCGACCGAAAGGCAGATACAGACCGATTCAGTGACATGTCTAGTGTGAACGCTGCCATTTAGACCTGATTTGCAAATGCTGGCGCGAAAGCTCTTCTGCGCTGCTGCTGGCGTGAGTCCGCCACTCATAGAAATACCTCCATTTATACCAATGCTTTTCTAGCAGACGTGTCAGTCGGAAGTGCTGCTGAGCGCCGCCTTGATAAGGGATCTTAATTGTTCTCGTCTCATTGATGAATTAACTTTTATTGCCAACTGTTCATATTTGCATAGGCTCGCAGTAAACTGGGTAAAACTTCTTATTGCAATTGTCTAAAATAAGTTAGTGATTTATTGATATAGTTGAAACATAGCATAAAGGGCAAAACAGTATCGAGCAGTTTGCTTATAGCAAAAATAATCTTTCACCTTATCACACATTCATTGTTATTGTCTGTTCTGAGCATTTGTT